GGGAAATCCCCAACCCACGCTAGGTCGGCAAAAACCCCAACCGACGCTAGGTCGGCGCCAGTTCGCACCACCCAGCGCCGGAAGATAACCGCCCCCTCCCGTTGAAAAACATGCAGTACACTTACGGGACTGATCTTATCCGTTTACGCGCCCGGAATCACTAGTCAATCAGGGCGAAAATTCGACAAGTACAAATATAAAGCTGAATTTTGCTGCCTTGGATACCAGAGGTCGCTAATGTTGAAGGGTCGTTGCTGCCTCGTGCCTGATGATTCGCGGGTTCGAATCCCGCCCGGGCATGGATGGTTGCGTGTGACGGCATACGAGTGTGCAAGTTCTGCGACCATTATGACCTTAGTAATTAAAAAGCGACCGAAATATATTCCTGAAGTAACTTGTCGTGTAACTTGTATGTAACTTTCACGTATTGTATAAAACAGGCTCAAAACTAAAGAGAAGTACTGCGTCCATAAGTATATGCCCTCACTGAATCATTCATTGTGTGGTCTCATTGAGTAAGACGATTGACAGCGACGATTGAAATAAAAGTGGCTGGAACGGTCAAAATGTGTCGATAAAGATTTTAACATACCATTAAAATACGAGTACAATATCAAATGCTTTAAAGAATTAAACCCTGCATGAATTCGTTGCACTTCTGTTTATATTAGAAATTGATGTCTATATTTGCTAGCTTGTAGATTTTTTTACCATCCTGAATTTCGGTACTTTGATATAATAAACGAGTAAGAACAATCATGTTGAGGACCTGACCTCCGGAAAGAGGAAAATATTTCAAGGATAAACGCATACAGTCGTACGTGATATTTTACCTAAAATAAAATTTTACGAAATACACAACGATATTCTCGTTTTACGATACTTCAAAGTAATAAGGAAGATTTCAGCTAATGCTGGAGTAAGTTTTGTTGTTTTGTTACAAAGACGTCTTTCGAGATTGTGTCATGAAAATATATCTTTTACAAAGGCCCCTTCCTTCAATCAGACAAAGAATACACTTATACTCCGATTAAAACAGTGTGTCCCTTCAACGTCACGAGCTGGAAGAAGAGGGGGGCCTTGTCATCCAATCGCGAGCTTCATTACAACTTAAATGTTTAGTATTGAATTTCTCGATTGGATGACGTGTCCCCCTTTCCATTAAGCAAGTGATCTTGAAGGAACACTGTTTTAATACAAGTGTAAGTTGAGATTGGCGATTAGATGAGGCTCATTCACTCTTGGAAAAGAAACTTTGTTATGAAACCATTAGGTTTTGTAACAAAGATCACTTTGTTGGAAATCACAAAAAACGCCGAAGGAAAAATTACGGACTCCACTAATTGAAGAATAGGGGATATCAATAACACCAGCTCTATAATAAATTTAATATTCAGATGATGTACAATACGAGTACTATTAGAGTCAAAATGTTCCGTATATCAAACTTTGCGTCTTTTTCTAACCATTCACTCAACAAAATTTCAACACACAATAATAGTCGTGATAAGCAAATATATTTGCATTGCAAGCAGAGTCCGTATTCGCAGTCACCAGTATCCTCGATAATTACATTTTTAACTCCCTCAACTAGAAACTGCATTGAAAATGTACTTTAAGATATGTTGACGAATATATTCAACTGCACAGAAGTCGCACAATGAACACTTTTTACGACAAATAATTTACGGTTGGATATCAAACACTTCGCAGAAAAGGTTCAGATAAAAGAATGTGGACCAAAGCTGACATTCGCTTTTAAAGACCTTTCGAAGAAGTGCAAGGATGTCATGTCGGCCCCACAATGGAACCCAACTAAAGTTGAGATCAATAGGCTTGAGGATTTCTACCACGACATTGCTATTAATCACTTCAGAAAAATTCTATAGAGAGGAAAGCAATTGACATTGAGTAGATTGCTTAATGTCCCTATAAACGAAAAAAGTGAGTAATGAAAATACCAGACTGCAAGAGCAGATGCATTGATAGACATATTATTATTATTATTATTATTATTATTATTATTATTATTACATAGTATAAAAATATAATTTTTTTAGACTTCAGAACGAAATAATCAAATCCCCTTAAAATCTCAGTTAAATCCATCACAGTTTCACGAATAATAGTAGTAGCGAAGGGAAATAAACATTTGAACAGATCATGTTCAATTACAGAAGACCCACGGTAATAAATTTTCCAAGCAAGTTCAGACGAACATTGTTGATCGACATGATGCCAAAGGACGCAGAGACGTCACTCAGTTAATAAGCAGAGACCGTTTGTTTTTTGTTGTTGTTTTTTGTTTGTTTTTTTGTTTTTGTAATTACATATTTTTGTCTTTCTACTTACTGTTCTCAAAACCGTAATATTGTTGAATCGTTACGACACTAACACCTCTTATTTTTTTATTACATATTTTGCTATTTTTACAACTTTTTTTTATTTTATCAGTATTTTACCAATTTATACATTTTTTATTAAAAGAAGTATTTAAAAAACATATTTTTTCACATTATTACTGAGTGAACCCGAATCGAAATGCGCAACGTTAAGAGGCAGTTGGATGTTCTTAGAGTCCGGCGCACGTACTTCAATTAACTCAGTGGCGGGGAGTGTGCGTCAGCGACAGTGATCATTTTACCTTTAGGTTTTAAAAGTATCACTGATCCCGCATGTAGTGACCTTTAACCTTCATATCCGAGGAACATTCATTGGCGATCGCCGACATGTAACCCTTCAATAAGATTGCTGCACGATACAGGGATTATTTGCTGGTCATAGATATCGACAGTTTGTCGCAGGGGTTGTATTGCAAGTCTAGTCTGGCTACTATTTTACCGTTCTGGATAGCAATAGATAAAGCTTCTATTACCGACGGGAAAGTTATATGGTGAAAAATGTGCATCAACTTGTGCTCTTCAAATGATTTTTAAAACGTTTGTATTTTTAAAATTTATTTAGGAAATTGTTGATAAATTTAATTTTGTATTAGGTAACTGTGTTTTATAATTAGTGAATTTTAATAATACATACCTGATTTTACATAGTTATTACATATTCTCACTATATTACATATTTATGTATATATTATGACGTTTCATACTACATACTTTTCCGATCTCTACTAATAAAAGTACACTAACGTGCTGGAAAATTTATTCTTAAAAGTGGGCATGGGTTTAAAACCCGGCATTAGCTTTTAGTTTATCTTAAATAAAAAATTTAGGTCATGTTATAACTTGTAAAAGTTTTCTCTCTTTCAAGAATGATTCGAAATAGAGTTAAAAAAATAATGTCCAACATAAGAACATTGTAAATCTATTACAAAGGAATGATCTTGGGAGGGTTTCAATGATAAATTTCACTCTTACATTAAGTAAGGGAAACATTTAACGATGAAACGAGTACAAATTTTTTAAGCCCGGTGACTACCAATGGACGCCCTTTCTGATGTATTCGTACTATACACTTCATTTGCTCTCCTTATTTCCCCTTATTTTACACATTTTGCTACCTAAAATTCCTTTTGAACACTCATTATGTATCGTAAAGGGGGGAAGGAAACAGTCCGAAATAAGTATGTTATTCCATCATCCCTCCTTCATCATTCAAATCATATGATCACCCTTCCTATCCATAAATATATTTTCATCTCGCAAACGGCCGAAAAGGCACGAACAGAGAATCATAATAACGAAGAATAAGCATCAGAAATCTTATTATTCTCGTAGCATTCTTGGAGTCTTTGGGGATCATTGAAGATTAGCAATAAAATGATACCCATCAGCCAAAGTTCACGCCTTTTAACCCTAAACGAATCTGAATCAACCAGAATCAGTTAAAATCAATGAGAATCTGATTCACGAAGACTCGACTTAGAGCTCTACCACCCAAGTACCCCCACACTCAAATCACCTATCAATCTACAATCATTCACCGGCTTAGGTGACTCAGGGCATCAACTGATGTCACCGCAGTGTCTATATCCGAGAGGTCTCTGGGGAGTCGAGTGCAGACGTGCGGAGTTTCGACATTGCTAGCGTACTAAGGCAAATTCAACCGCTGACAGGAGAATTAAAGCGGCGGCGCTCCGATTGGTGGTTCCTCGTTTCTCTTGAGCACCGTCAGGCGAATGTCGGAGCAGTATCTAACGAAAGCGCGATCGACGGACCGAGGCGATCTTTCCTTCCTCTTCTTATTCTGTCCTCATTCATTACTTCACCCATTCAGAGCACTACACTACCCTACATGCCGGGAGACCGTTCGGAAACCTAGACCTTGTCCCGGCTTCGCGGTGCCAGCTGGTTGGAAGACACCAGAGTGGGAAAATTTGGAGGGCTTCTTGAGAGAAAAAAATTAGAAATTGCATAAATTCAAGATACAAATTACGCCAAATGTTTTTATTGATCATTGACCTTTTCTAAAGAGATATGTTCTTAGAACAAATTTTGTCTAAAAAGATAAGAAATTATTACTGAAACAAAATTTGTTCTAAAAAATAAGA